CCCTGGTCTCCTCCCTGCCCCTTTCCAAGTCCCCTGATAGGGGAGGACCTCCTCCCCTTTCATCTGACCCTGTTTTATCAGGTATCTTCAGGGCTGGCTGCAAAGTCCTCCTCTGTGGCCTAACAGACTGCTCCTCCCCTGGGGGGGGGGTGTCAAACAGCCTGCCCTTGAGATCCTGTTAGAAATAGTCCGTGTTCCCCTTACTTTGGAAAACTACTTGGTTACTGAGCTACCACAGGCCACATCTGAGCAGAAGTTCTAGGTTATATCCATAGATGGTCCTTGGTTGAGTGTCAGTCTCAGAAAAGACCCTGTAACTTTGTTTTTTTTAAGTCTTTTTTTTTTCTGAGCTCTTCTCTCAGTGGGGCTCAAACTGATTCTGCCTACCTTAAGTGATTCAAGACCAAATGAGAAAATACATGTGAACATCAAATTACCATGGATTAATAATGTATTGGTACTTATCATTTATAATTATTTCTGAAACTCTTTCCCCATAAAACAGAAGTACGAACACTCTGCCTGGCTCATTGCAGATCTCATAAAGAAATTATCTTGTATTCCATCAACAAGTCCAACATTTAGCCAGGTGCCTGGGCTTGGAATGCATGCTTTCCCCTCACACGCTTTTAACTCAAAAGCCTGTGGCTTCTGATTTTTAATGTTTCTTAGTGCATCCAAACTTTCCCATTTTGAAGGCCACTATCGCTCTTCCCCAATCATCATCCACTCCTCCTGCCTTCAGATTCACCACTAGCCAAACCATTTTCCAGGTGGCAGGCAAATGGAAAACAAATGCCTTACACCCTCTTGGTTTCTCACTGACTTTAGAGGAAAGTTCTTTGATGTCTTTGAACTGTCCTCACCCTTAAGTCATTTGCGTGGGGTTGGGAAGGTGGGAACACACACACACACACACACCTATCTCTTGTTAGCTTGCTGTGCCTGTCTAGAACTTTCTTCATTTTCAATTCACCTTTTGGCTCTTAACTTTTTTCCCATCTATTTATTTATTTATTTATTTATTTATTTATTTATTTATTTATTTATTCATTCATTCATTCATTCATTCATTCATTTATTTACTTTAAAGCCTGATCTCAGCCTTCCCCTCCTCCCCATCACACCCTCATGCCCCCTGCCCCACTCTCTCCTTTTCTTCTTTTCAGAGAAGGAGAGGACCCCAAAGGATACCAGCCCACTCTGGCACCTCAAGTCATAGCAGGACTAAGTGCATCCTCTTCCACTGAGGCCAAACAAGGCAGCCTAGCTAGGAGAAAGAGATCCAAATGCAGGCAACAAAGTCAAAAGACAGCCCCAGCTCCAATTGTTAGAAGACCCACATGAAGACCAAGCTGTGCATCTGTTACATATACATGCTCTTTGGTTGGTAGTTCAGTTTCTGTTAGTCCTCATAGGCCCAGGTTAGTTGACTTTATAGTTCTTCTTGTCTTTGACCCTTCTAGTTCCATCAGTATTTCCTCCTACTTTTTCACAAAACTCCCCCAGCTAGGACTATTGTTTGGCTGTGGGTCTCTGCAACTGTTTCCATTTGCTGCTGGATGAACCCTCTCAGAACACAGTTGTGCTAGGCTCCTGTCTGCAAGCATAACAGAGTATAATTAATAATGTCAGGGCTTGGCTCTTTCCCATGGGGTGGGTCTCAAGTTGGACCAGTCACTGGTTTGCCATTCCATCAATCTCTGATCCAACTTTATCCCTTCACTTCTTGTAGGTGAGACAAATTTTAGGTTGAAGTTTTATGGGTGGTTGGGTGTCCTCCATCCACTGGATGTCTCACCTGGCTACAGGAGGCAGTGACTTCAAGCTCCATATTCTCTGCTGCTAAGAGTCTCAGCTAGGGTCACCTCCAAAGACTGCTGAAGTCTACAGAATGGGAAAAGATCTTCACCAGTGTTACATCTGACAGGGGGTTATTATCTGAAATATATAAAGAACTCAAGAAATTAAATATCAACAAACCAAATAACCCAATTTGCAAATCAGGTACAGAGCTAAACAGAGTCCTCAACTGAAGACTCTCTAATGGCCAAAAATCACTTAAAGAAATGTTCAACGTCCTTAGTCATCAAACTAATGCAAATCAAAATGACTCTGAGATTCCATCCTACTCCCATCAGAATGTCAAATGATAGCACATGCTGGCAATGTTGTGGAGAAAGGGGAACCTTCCTCCATTGCTGGTGATAGTACAAATTTGTACAACCACTTTGGAAATCAATCTGGTGCTTTCTCAGACAATTGGGAACAGATCTACCTCAAGCTATACCAATCCTGGGCATATTCCCAAAAGATGCTTTACCATACTACAAGGACGTTTGCTCAACTATGTTCATAACAGCTTTATTCATAATAGCCTGAAGCTGGACACAATCTAGATGTCCCTCCACCGAAGAATGGATAAAAAAAAAATATGATACATTTATACAATGGAATACAACTCAGCTATGAGAAAAAAAGGAAACCATGCAATTTGAAGTCAAACGGGTGGAACTAGAAAAGATCATCTTGAGTGAAGTAACCCAGACCCAGAAAGACACGATTAGCCATAAAGTACAAGATACCCATGCTACAACCCACCTACCTAAAGAAGCCAAGGAGGTCGAAGGGAAGATGCTTGAATCTTACTCAGAAGAGGAAATAAAATAGACATCTGAAGTAGATGAAGAGAGAGAAGTGGGTGGGAGAGGGTGTGGGGAGAGTAACAGGGGCAGGGATCAGGTGTGGGAAGAGCAGAGGTGGGGGTAGAGGACCAAGAGAGAGATTGGCTCTTAAATTCTTTTTTATTTCCAAGATCTATCTATCTATCTATCTATCTATCTATCTATCTATCTATCTATCTATCTATTTCATATACAATGTTCTGCCTGCATGTACACATGATCACTAGATTTAGTTATAGATGACTGTAAGCCACCATGCGGTTGCTAGGAATTGAACTCAGGACCTCTGGAAGAGCAGCTAGTGCTCTTAACCTCTGAGTCATCTCTCCAGCTCATAACATGGATTTTGTTTTGTTTTGTTGTGTTTTTTCAAGACAGGGCTTCTCTGTGTAGCCTTGGCTGTCCTGGAATAACTTTGTAGACCAGGCTGGACTTGAACTCACAGTGATCCTCCTGCCTCTTCTTTCCAGATTTCTGGGATACAGGCACAGCACCACCTGGCTCTTCTGTGTCATGTTCTCTGGAAGACCTATGACAACTCTTTACCCAAGTGTAGGAAAGACTTTTGACCTGAAAATCACCTATGTATTATTTTGTAATGCCATTGTTTAATCAACTTTTGGAAGATCTCATTTTCCTACAATGGGTTGAACAGTAGCTTCTATCTCACATGTTTGTTCTGAAATATGACCCCAACAGTTCACTAAATGTACCATTTGCCCCTCTTTCTCTTGGGTCTATGCAGAGCTTGTGGTTGCCATGACCAATTCAAGGTGCTATTTCTGAGTGAGGCTCTGAAATGACCTGGCAGTTGCCATGTCCTGCTTCATGAGAACCAGCTGCTCTTTAAGAGTGATGACCTTGATATCACCATTTTTGCAAGAAGCCAAGCCTCCATAATGAAGAGTCCTTGGAGGGAGACACACCATGAGAAGAAATGAAGCACAAAACTGACTCATTTTTCTGACTGTTTCTAGACTTCAAATCCTTACCTTCCACCAAAGAACTTGGATAAACATGACTGAATGTCAACATCTTATGTAATGTAAAGGTGTCATAGGTATCCAGAAAGGTTATAACAGAGGGAGATAACAGGCCTTTCTGTGCACACTGTGCATACTCATCTCCTTTCACAAGGAACAAGGTTATTTGTTTCATCACTGTACCTAAGGTTTGATACACAAGCATATTTGGGAGAAGTGGTGTATTCATCTTAATTTCCAATGAGTGTGAATAATCCATAGCAAATCCCAATTTCTAAGCAAGATGTTTTAATTCCAAAATGAATACACGCAACAAGTAATGCAGTGATACTCCCAAAGAATATAATACAAACTTTCTAGGCAACAGTGGCAAGATTGTGGGGTCACCAACTACTTATGCTTATCTTTGAGGCCCAACTCCATGGGAAGGAAGACCTGCCTGGAA